CTCTCCCCACCAGGCCTTCATACCTCTCCCCACCAGGCCTTCATACCTCTCCCCACCAGACCTTCACACCTCTCCCCATCAGGCTGCAGCCCCGTGCCACCCCCACGTGTCTGTGCACCCACGCCCAGGGCCGCAGCCCTGCACTGCTCCCACGTGTTTGCGTATCTGTCCCCCAATGCACCTGTCATAACCCAACCCCACCCCACCCCACCCCGTGGTCCCCATGAGCTGAGTGTCCCCTTGCTCCCTCCATCAGCTACCATGACCATTATGGCGGAGCTATCATCCTCACTCTGCCCCGCCCCACAAACGCCCCCACGGCCCCGCGCCCCAGCTGACTCTAGTGCTGTCATCTCAGACCAAAGCAGGAGGGGGGCAAGAACGAGGGTGGAAAGGGGAAGCCCGCCCCAACCCAGCCTCACCACTCCATGCCCCCTGCACAGGCTCCTAATTGTTCTGAGGGCCACAAAGAAGGAAACCAGAGAGGGCAAGGGAAGGGGACGTGTCCTGTACTCCTGCTTTGCTGTCCACATACCCTACCGCCCCACTGCCCTCCCCTATCCCCCGCAAGCTGTCGCTCTGGAGACCACAGCCCCCCTCGTACCCTATTAAGGCTGAATCCCGGCTCTGGCCCCCATGGCCACATCATGTTCCACCTGTGAAGGGGCACATTCCCTCTAGGACAGGCACACTCGGAGAGCCTTTCTGTTCTGTCCAAACCTCAAGGAACTTCCCTTAGGAGCTGTCACATGTCAGCCAGGCCACACTCCTCAGGTGCCCCAGGAGAGCTCGCTCCTGTGACTCACCCAGAGCAACGTTCCCACCAGCACAATACCGGCTCACTTTAAATTCACCTACTCATGACAGCCAGCTGCTCAGACACACCAGGGGGTGGACATGTAGACACTGTGTCCCACAGAATGTTCAGTGTTGCTAACGTGTATGTACTTGGGGGTTGGGAGATGGACACGTAGACATCACGTCCCACAGAACGTTCCGTGCTGCTAACAACATGTACAAACCTGGGGGTGGACACGCAGTCATCACGTCCCACAGAATGTTCCATGTTCCTAACATGTATGTACCTTGGGGGTGGGCATGTAGCATCCCACAGGATGTTCCATGTTGTTAACAACATGTATGTACCTTGGGGGTGGGCATGTAGCATCCCACAGGATGTTCCATGTTGTTAACAACATGTATGTACCTGGGGGGTGGGCATGTAGCATCCCACAGGATGTTCCATGTTGTTAACAACATGTATGTACCTGGGGGGTGGATATCTAGACACCACGTCCCACAGAATATTCTGTGTTGCTGCTGTTGGAAATGACGTGTGTGCCTGGTGGGGGCAGGGATGGTATATGAATACAATGTCCCACGGAAGGTTCCGTGTTGCTGCTGTTGGGAATGACCTGTGTACCTGGTGGGGGCAGGGAGGGTATATGAACACGATGTCCCACAGAAGGTTCCATGTTGCTGCTGTTGGAAATGACATCCATGTACCTGGTGGGGGCAGGGAGGCTATATGAACACGACGTCCCATGGAAGGTTCCGTGTCGCTGCTGTTGGGAACGACATTTCCACGCGTAAGGTTACTTAGGAACCTGCAAAGGACATGTCTTGATCCAAACGCTCGGCGAACCGCACGGTCTAACCCAACAAACAAAACGACAGGTGGAGAGGCGCGCCTCAGTCCGCGAGAGCCTGAAATGACCTCCGCGACGTCGGCTCTCCGACGCGCACAGCCACGCACAGCCTGGCCCCACGAGGAAGCCCCCTCACCTCATCAAAGATCTCGAGGTAGAACGAGTCCACGCCCGGGGGCACTGTGCACTGGATGACCTTATTCCAGCGCGGGTTCTTGGCTCCGTTGTGCGCTGTCGGGGTCTCGTACACAGCATAGCCCAGGCGGATCCGGCAGTAGGGGTCCATGCGGGTCATTCCGTAATTCTTTGCCAACTTGGCCTGAAAGAAAGCCAGTGTCAGGAAACAGGCCAGGACTAGAAGCGAGCGCTCGCCAAAGCCACAGCCTCTTCCACTCAGCAGGGCAGTGTCTTCCCAGCGTGAATCACAACCATCCAACGCGCCTGGACACAGTCAGTCTGTGAGGAGGAGGAGCCCCTGGCTGAGCTGTGCGAGTCCAAGGTGACACACTGGGGCCAGTCTGCCAGTACACACCCGAGACCACGGCCACACGACTCAAACCCCATCCCTGGAAAGAGCAAAGAGCCAAGGGGCCACTGGCAGGAGAGCAGCAGCACACCCTCCCCAGGTGGGGCCTGCCGACATTCGCCCTGCAGCACTGCGACGCCTCCGCCCGGGGACTGCAGGTGGCTCTCCCTTCTGCCCTCCTAGGGTGTGAGTGTTGTAGCTGTCACCTGGTGGGTTACCCACAGGTCTGCAGCCACCCAGGTGAAGGACAGCAGGGGCCAGACTAGGGGTAGCTCTGCACTGGGATCCGCTCTGAAGCTGGCATCACGGGCCTGTGCTGCAGGGCTAGGTATGCGGGAGACAGAAGGAAGGGTCCAGGGTCTCAGGCCTGACCTTCTAAAGGACGGAAACTAGGGAGAAGCAGGTTGTGGGGGGCTGGTCTCAACAATAGCCTCACTTTGGACACTTCACATCTGCGACACCTACTGGCCCGTGGTTGGGCCCTGAGGCGGTCTGCTGTGCCCGAGTCTGGAGATGTGGGGGGCGGCCTGGCCTGGGCTAGGAGCACGGCACCCCAGCACATGACAGCGTCCAGACCACAGGTACATGGCTCGTCATCATGCCCTGGGGGAGAAAAGGGAGAAGGGCAGAAGACCCAGAGCGTGGCCCCCTGGAAGCCAAGGGAGGAAAGTTTTATCAGAAGGGAAGTGGGAGCCTTCAGCCAGCGGTCACAGGACAGGAGCTGAGAATTCTCCTGCCCCTTGGACTGGCTTGGGCAAAGGTACAGAGACAAGCTGGCCTGCAGGGGCTCGGAGGGCTGGCAATGCAGAGGAGAGGGCTGGGGGGAGGGGCGAACCCAGGCCGGAGGCCCTGCGGTGCCCCTGCTCCACCAGGAGGTGGAGGTCTGTGCAGGAAGACAGCCTGGCTTCCACTGGCCTACATTCTCTACAGTGGGGAAGGAATCTACTCGCGGGTAAAGGGATTCAATAAGCCAGCAGAGGAAGTGAGTGCGTTATCTTGGAAACACTCAGATGAACAAATATCTAAAATGCATCATGATGAAATGCGGGTTTGACCGTAAACCCATTAACACTGAACAGTGCTGCCAAGTGTTTAGGATGCTGTTAAGCATCTTAACACTGAATTCCACTCCTGAGAAGGTCCAATACAGTGGTTCTTCGGTTACTGTGTGTAGATACGCTTGTATTTCTATAGGATTGGGTGGTTTGCAATGCTTCTTTCTTTTCTCAGGGGTTTATAGAAAGTTTGGTGGGATCAAACCATTTTCAGATACTAACAGTCTATTTTGGTTTTCATTCTAAAGTCTGTTTAGCAATATATAGCAGGTCTACTCCGTAACACACGGGGTCACCACACACAGCAGCTAACGACAACGTTCTACCTGACCACACCGAGCTGTCAGAGTGACAACTGGGCCCTGACCTGGTGTCACCCTCCGTGGAGGGAGGTGCCCCTTGCTGGAGTGTGGCCTGGGCAGGGCCACCTCCCTCCGTTAGCCTTGACACCTCACCAGCAGCTGTGAGGACCAGGCTCACATGCGTGGACCAGTGCAGGCATGGGGCAGACACCTGGAAATGTTCACCATTAAATATCTTAATTATGTCTGGCAGAAACCTGGTAATAGTCAATATTTTTCATATATATCATTTTTCAACATTAGATACAGGTTTCAGGAAAAGTCAGATCAGAAATAAATTTATATTTGTCCACGTGGAAAACGTAATATAAAAGTGTAAGTTCAAAACCGCACCTTGAATTCACGGAAGCTACATCCGCCTGGCCCTCACCCACACCAGAGGGCCAGGTCCACCTGCACCATGGTGATGCTGGGGCGCCCTCCCCACCCCACACACACCAGAGGACTGGACCCACCTGCACCATGGTGATGCCGGGGCACCCCCACACACACCCCACAGAGCCAGGCCCACCTGCACCACGGTGATGCTGGGGTGCCCTCCCCCCACATGCACACCAGACGGCCGGGCCCACCTGCACCACGGTGATGCTGAGGCGGCCCACGGTGCCCAAGGCCCCGCCGTACTGCAGCTGCTGCGCGGCCTGGGCGTCCAGCTGAATCTGCTGCTGCTGCTGTGTGGGCGTGATGCGGAGGAAATCCTGAGGGAGCTCGCCGATGTACACCTGCGGCACGAAGACAGAGGAGGGTGGGGCGCGTCAGCGAGGCCGGCAAGCCCCAACACAGCGGCTTTCTCAGCATTCCGGGAACCCGCCCATCCACAGAGGGATCAAGAGACCCCAAGTCTCAGCTCACGCTTGGCCCCCACCCAGGACCTTGACCAGGTCCCTGGACCCTGCTGGACCTCAGTTTCATTACCTGTAATACGACGGGTCAGTATAGCCCCAGGTTCCCACCCTGAGCACCCAGAAGCTCTAGGCCTCCCTGGTGCCCACACGCATCTCCCTCAGCAGGTGCTCACACACAACCAGAGCTCACTGCTTCCCCTAGGAGGGCTTCACATGCTCAGAAAACCGTGGGACGTTTGCAGGTGGTTTTGGGGTTCAGAATGCTCTATGTCTGTGTGTCTGTGGTCAATCTGTCCCTGCACCACTACAAATGAAAGCAGGGCCTGTGAGCTACAGTCACCTGTTCAAACGAATGAAGTGAAATCTGAGCCCTGGATATACAGACATTTGGGAAACTCTGCACTGATACATTTGGAGTATTTCCATCTCAAACACTTCAAATTCAAAAGTGTCCTGGAAGAAAAGAAGTAAACAGACTCAAGACAAAAACATTATTCTGCTTCTCATCCGGCCCTCTGTCATTGGACTGTGGCCTTGAAAATCAGAAGGACCCTCAGAGGCTAGAGGCATGCCTGGAACCAGGGCGGCCTCGAGAGCCGAGGCGGCATGTGCGTGACAGGAGTGACCCTCACAGAACTGAAGGGACCAGGAAGAGCTCGCGGGGACTCCTGGACGTGTTCCCTAGAGCAGGTTCCACCAGAAGAGGAGTGAAGGCGGCCGTGCAGGGATACACTGGGGGTGGGGGGGCACCAGGAGCACACCCAGAGCCAGGGTGCCAAGTGGCCTCACAGCAAGGCACTGCCAACCCCAACCAGCCCGCAGCCCTGAGGTCCAAGCTGGGCGGGCCAGGCCCACAGAGTACAGGCAAGGCCGCCCTGGCGGTGAAACCACACGCCAGCCGTGAGAGCTGCTCATAGGTGAACTGAGGCCAGCCGATGTCACGACTCTGCTCTGCCTGCACACCTTGGTGCAGGCCCATCGCGGCTAAGAGATGCCATCCAACCCCAGGCCAGGGAAGCACGTGAAGCAGAAGAGCCACAGGAACGAAAGAGGGAAAGAGCACCCTGGCGGCTGGAGGAATGCAAACCATGGTGGCAGCAGAGCCCCTGGCACAGGCTGAGTGCTGCCGGTGGCCATCCCAGCCGCACACGCCCCAGACGGCGAGAGGACGTCTGTCACAGACACCGCTCTGCCCAGGCATGAAGGACTGTGTGTGATCAGTGTGCATCCTGGCAAACCACAACTTCTGAGCGCTGTCACCAGTGAGGGCAAGCCTGACACCCCGGGCGCAGGGGCCTCCGGTGTCCCGGCCTCTGTCTGTGCAGACCACCCCAACAACAGCCCGCACCATGGCATCTGTGTGATGATTCACCAGGCCGGCGCAGAGGATGCTGTGCAGATTGTCCCAACTAGACTTCCCACCACCCTGTCAGCAAACCCGTTTGTGTCCACAAACACCCTCCCCAGAGAACTCCCTGGCCTGCCCCCTCAAACGTCCTCTGCAAAGGTGGTTTCCTGCCCAACTCCCCATCCAGGCCTGGAGAATGCCCAAACCCGAGAGCTGGACGGAGGCAGTCATGGGGACCCACAGGCTCCGAAAGCTGGTCTGCGTGGTCCCAGCCCAGGATATCGGGACAGAGCCTGCTGGCAGGCTGGTGCCGACCCCAGCCTGGCGCACGCCCACCGGGAACCCCGCGATGCCATGTCTGTGCAGGATCTCTGCCCCACTGGGTGGGAAGCCCCGGGGGGGAGGCCACCTGATGCCATCCGGGCCTGTGGGTGTATTCACTGGCCAGCCGGCCAGCAGCTCAGCTTCTGCTGGAGGTGCAAGCCGCCCACGAGGCCCAAGGTTGCCAGGAGGTGCACTGCAGCTCCCTCTCAAGAGGCTCTGCAGGACGGCTGTATCTTGGGGCTGCCTCTCCCAGGGCATGCTCCACAGTGTACCACGGGGCCCAGGAAGGGCCTTGAAAACAGGGCTCTAGTTCCTCGCCACCTGACCCAGCAACTCCACTCCTGGTCCACACCCCGAACACCTCAGTGGGGGGACTCACACTGATGTGTGTACGCCGCTGTTCACTGCAGTTCTGTTCACAAGAGCCCAAAGGTGGAAGCAACCCAAGTGTCCAGCAATGGATGAACGGGTACACACAGTGTGGTCCACCCATCCAACGGAATACTACTCAGCCATCAAGAGAAACAAAGTCCTGACACGTTACAACACGGATGAACCCTGAAAACATCACAGAGTGAAGTCAGCCAGACACGAAAGGACAAATACTGTAGGACCCCATCTAAACTAAGTGTCTAGAGGAGGCACGTGCATCGAGACCGAAGCTTGTGTAGTCACCAGGGGCAGGTGGCAGGGGATGGGGCGAGCCCCCGTGAAGAGTGCTGAACACAAAGACTCAACATTAAATTGTGGTGACAGCTGCGTGACACGGTGACTAGAACGTCACTCAGCCGTACACGTAAAGATGGCTGAAACGACAAACGCTGTTAGTCGAACGTCCCGCAACAAAGCTTTTAAAAATAAACTAAAATTGATTAATTAACGTAAAAACATTTATGTATTACTTGGGTGGGAATTTACCATAACATTGGCTTTACAGCAACATCAACGTTCTCCATCTGTTTAAAAGAAAAAACAAAACAGGGCCTGGCCTAGTGCTGCCACCCTTGGGAGTATCAGAGCTTCCCAGGTGCTAATGGTGTGGAGAACCCGCAGGCCTGCCCACCTGCTGAACGGCTTCCCACCACAGACTCTCCCTCCAGAGACACCCACCCGCAGGACGCGCTGCCTCACGCATCTTCCTGGTCTAGACACAGCCCGGGCATCGGCCCCGTCACTGGTTCTGTTGCTCAGCCACCAGGAATGGGTTATCTTGCAGAGTCCATGGCGATTAATGGGCACAGTCCAAATCCTAATTATTCCGAGAAGTAACTGCCCACTGTCTGCCAGGCTCTGCTCTGACTCTGAGGAAGCAGCAGGACAGGTCAGCTTTGCCCCACAGAGAAGGGCAGCAGCCAGCACATGTACCCGATGACAGCAGGCGTCATGGAGTAAATCGAGGCAAGGGCATGACCGCAGTGACGGGCGCCACCGCAGATACAGGCAGGAAAGGCCTCATGGAGTGACGGCTGTTTTCCTTCCTGTCTGTCCCAGCACGGGAGTGGGACTTCCAGGTGTTATTTTTCCTCTTTACCTACTCCTCTGAGTTTTCATCAGGAGGTGCTGGGTGGTGCCAGTGGTTAACACGCTCGGCTGCTAACCACCCAGAGGTGTCTCTGAAGAAAGGCCTGGCAGTCTACTGAAAAATCAGCCACTGAAAACCCTACGGAGCACAGTTCTACTCTGACACATGGGGTCGCCGTGAGAAGAGTCGACTCAACAGCAGCTGGTACCAGCAGGTTTTCATTAAAGAGTATGCGGCTGCTTTTGAATGGGGAAAATTACACCAAAAGGTCAGACGATCTAGTATTATTTTCCAACAAGGTTTAAATATAAAATTATTAATATGAAGTGATGATTTTTAACACAAATGAAACACTGTAAATTGAATATGGAATGGGGGGTAACATTATTTGGAGAGAACTGGCAAACGCGACCTTGCCCAGGCGATCAAGGTCAACATCACCAGAACAAGTCATGTGGTGTCAGGGACCCCTGACATGTGATAAGAGGGCACCTCACCGCTGTGGTCTTCCTCCCAAAAACCCAGGCCCCAACTGGGGGACATTCCACAAAACTCACCACCAGCATTCCTCACACTGCCAGGGTCCCAGCAAACAGGGAGAAAAGGAGAAGCTGTCACAGACAGAGCCAAGGAGACATGACAACTAGGTTAACTGCGACAGGCGTCCCCGGACTGATCCTGGCGCGGAAGAGGGCAGCAACGGTAAACTTGTGAGATCCAAATTCAGCCGAGTCAGCAGGAACGGCCCCACGTCAGCTTCTGGGTTCTGACGAGGTGCTGTGGGGATGTAAGATGTCGGCACGGGGGAAAAACAGACAGGACCGAGCAGGAGCTCTCTGCTAGCTTTGCAACGTTTCCGTACATCTAAAACTATCCCCAAAGTAAAAGCATCTTAGAAAAAACTCTCAATTTAACCCAGAAGAAAAATGATTAAGAAGAAACAGTACTTCAGTTCTTGGTTGCACAGGCCCTGCCCCATCTGGGAGAAGACAGACTAGGCTCCTGCGAGCACAGTCCCGGTGACTTCTCCACTCAGACCAGTCTGCACCCGAGGCAAGGCTCCCGCCCCTGAAAACTCCGGTCCTGTTAGAGAGGGAGTGAGCATTTCAGCAGTCACAGATAAGCCCAGGCACTCAGAAAATCCATTACTTCAGTGACGAGACAGAAAATGTCACCAGCACACGTGTTTTTAATTATTTCTTAAATTCCATTTTAACCCTAATGTTTATTTTTTCCATAGTGTACTATGATGGTAAAGGACACACCCTGTCACTGTCTATTCACTTACATTTTTCTCTACATTTGACACTTCAAAATAAGCCTGCCCATTGCCATCAAGCTGATTCCGACTCACGGTGACCCTACAGGACAGAGTAGAACTGCCCAATAGGGTTTCCAAGGAGCGGCTGGTGGATTTGAACTGCTGACCTTTTGGTTAGCAGCCACCAGGGCTCCATATTTCAAAATAAAGGGGGAGGAAAATCCACTTCTCCACCTGTACCTGGCCTGCACTCAGGTGTGAGCGGCTGGGGACACCACGGAGCCTGACTCATGAGTGAGTGATCCCCCTTCCAATGGTCACAAGCTCCACGCGGCCCCAAGGGACCCCAGAGATCAAACCACTCTCTCCTCCCACAAGTTCCTTTCTCCCCAAATCACGATGCCTCCCACCTCCTCCACCCTCTCAGTAATGACCTTGTTTCTTGCAATGGGAAAAAGCAAAAAAACAAAGAACCCAGAAGCAACCAGAAAACAAGGCCCAGCACGGCTGGCCACCCATCTAGCTCAGGCTACCAGCCACCTTCTCTCCCTTCCACAACCACAGGCTCCGGCCGCGCTCCCCGCCGGCCTTCTCTGCCCCCACGACCATAGGCTCTGGCCACGCTCCCAGCCGGCCTTCCCTCCCCCCACGACCATGGGCATGGCCACACTCCCAGCCGGCCTTCCTTCTCC